CTTCTGAAAAAAAAAAAAAAAATCAGTAAATGCAATTTAGGCTCCCAAACAAGCTTCTCTCTTCCCTCTTTGACAAATGCCCCCATACACCCCATGTCACGTTACTGAATTTGAGGGAAGCAGCCAGATCACTGCTGCACCCATAGGTGGGGGTGTTGGCCCCAAAAATGGTATAAAAGGGGGCCATGTGAGGTGTTGAATAGAAGCTTACTGTCTGCTAATCCTATGTACACTAGAGGGAATAATATCAGAGGGGTAGCCGTGTTAGTCTGAATCTGCAAAAGCGACGAGGAGTCCTGTGGCACCTTATAGACTAACTGAAGTGTAGGAGCATAAGCTTTCGTGGGCAAAGACCCACTTCGTCAGATGCATCTGACGAAGTGGGTCTTTGCCCACGAAAGCTTATGCTCCTACACTTCAGTTAGTCTATAAGGTGCCACAGGACTCCTCATCGCTTTTGCAGATTCAGACGGAATAATGTAACCCTGTTCTCTAGACCAGAGCAACTCTCTCAGCCAGAATAAAATAGGAGAGTTTGCTGAACATCTGAACACAAGGCAGTAACAATTAGGGCCTGTAGGCCCAGCCTCCTTCAGCACACCATGTTTGAGTCTCCCCTGCATCTGGGGGGCTCTGTCTGCTCTTTCTGCCCAGTGCACAATCTTCTAGCTGAGCCTCTGATATCTCTGTCCCAGCAGCTCCTCTCCTGTCCTTTGTCTTCTGTACCTGTTTAATGGGTAGCAGGTTTAAAACTAATAAAAGAAAGTTCTTCTTCACACAGCGTGTAGTCAACCTGTGGAACTCCTTGCCAGAGGAGGCTGTGAAGGCTAGGACTATAACAGAGTTTAAAGAGAAGCTAGATAATTTCGTGGAGGTTAGGTCCATAAAAGGCTATTAGCCAGGGGATAAAATGGTGTCCTTGGCCTCTGTCTGTCAGAGGCTGGAGAGGGATGGCAGGAGACAATTTGCTTGATTGTGTCTTCGGTCCACCCTCTCTGGGGCACCTGGTGCTGGCCACTGTTGGCAGACAGGATACTGGGCTAGAAGGACCTTTGGTCTGACCCAGTATGGCCGTTCTTATGTTCTTATGTTCCTCTATTCACCACCTCTTCTCTCAATCCCCCTCCTTTGTTCCCTGGGCCCAGGCTGGAACCAGCTGGTCAGGTCACCAGGGTCCTCTCTCTACAGATCCATTGTTCTCCCACTGGCCAGAACTGGCTGTGCAGCAGGGCTTAACTCGAAATAAGCTACACAAATTGAGGTATGTCCATTGCGTGGCTTATTTCCAAATAGGGAGCGTCTACACGGCACTCATTTTGAAACAGAGCACTCCTCCTCCACCTTCCCTTCCTCCTCGTACAATGAGAGTTACAGGAGTTGGAGTAAGAAAGCCTTCAGCGGGACAGTAGTGTAACACTACCTCGAAATAACTTCATCACCTAGCGTAATATTTATCAGGGGGAACAAAGCTGCTGCTGAGCCGTGGGGATCCGCCAGCGCTCCTGTGTAGGCCAGGAGCTCAGAAAGGTTTGAGCCTGCTGCCTTGCAGACTTGTTGGCCTGACTTGCTCCTGCTGCTTCCATGCCACCGTTGCAAGGCTCTGGCCTTAGGCTGAGCCTCTGTGTTTTCTCCATCCCCCAGGTCTGTCTGAGCCCAGCGGGGAATGTGCTACCGGCTTTTATTGCACGGGAGGAGCATCCAGCCCTAAACCGACTGAGGGTGTCACTGGGAATATCTGTCCCCTGGGCAGCTACTGCGGTGAGTATCTGGAGGACCCTGTGCCAGGAGTGGGAACTCCAAGCCACAAAATGCTTAGCCTGCGGAGAAGAGATTTTGCAGCAAAGCGTTGAAAGGCAGGGTGGGCCAGTGGCCAGAGATTTGGGTTCTGTTCCTGCCTCGTCTGCTGTGTGGTGTTGGGCAAGTCCCTCCCTCTTTCTGACTTAGCCTGGGGACTAGTGATGCTGAGTCTCCTTTTCAAGGTACTTAAAGACCTATGGGTGAAAAGTGCTTCATAAGGGTATGCCTACGCTGCAACGCTATTTCGGCATACCAGAGTATCCCGAGTCTTCACAGCAAGCCCGTTATTTTGGGCTCGCTATTCCAACATTCCTGTAAACCTCATTCTACAAGTACTAAGGGACATTTCAGAATTGTGCTTTATTTCGAAATATGATGAAACGAGCTATTTCGAAATAGCATCGAAATAAGATAAGCAATTTGTGTAGTTCAAATTGCATTTTATTTTGCGTTACAGTGCAGTGTAGACACACCGTAAGAAATCAACTCTTATTTCTGTATTGATCTGGGCTACTTGAGTCTTTTTGTCCTGGATGCAGCAGCCTTTAGACTATTTCAGAGTCAGTTTGTTATGTTTTGTTTTTCTTCCCCCAGCTGCGGGGTCAACAATGCCCAGGCTCTGTCCACCTGGCACCTTTTCCAACCTGCTAGGGCAGAGCATGGTTTCTCAATGCCAGATTTGTCCCTCTGGATTTTACTGTGCGGGTTCCGGCCTCAGTGCCCCCACTGGAGAGTGCCAGGAAGGTAAGGCACACGAGAGCAAACCCCAGCATCGAGTACAGGGAATGGGTGAGTCCAATGGCACAGACAAGTGAGAGCCAAAGAGAAGAGGGAGAGTATCTTGGGAAACACAGAGTAGCACCTGCATGTTGGCCAGGAACTTGTTCTAAGCAAGGGTGTTTGTTACTCACTGGCTTGATGGTGAAAATCCAGTGTGTTTCCCTTTCAGCAATGGGGAATGGGGATACAGACAGGAGGTACAGAGAATGATTCACTCCAGGCAAATCTCTAAGAATTGGAATCCTAGTCAGTCTCTTCCCCAGTACATGTGACTTTCCCTCTTGGCCCCTATGCAATGCACCTTCCCAAAGAGATGGTCACTAGATCAGAAGCAAGGAGGTGGGCAAAGGGGGCAATTGCCCTGGGATCCAGCTATTCAGAGGGGCCCGGGCTCTTGGCCACCACTACTGCTACTCTGGCAGGCAGAGCCCTGAGCCCTTTAAATAACCACTGGAGCACCCCGCTGCGCCATACCGCACACTCCATGAAGTTCTGAGGACTGCGGGGGTGAAGGGGGGGTGCACTGCACTGCAGGCAGCACATAGGGCTAGCTGCCTCTGGCTCTGCCCCTTCTGCCTGAGGCCCCACCCCTTTTCGGAGCACAAAGCCAGCCCTCCTTCTCTTCCCCCACCCCCTCCACTCAGGGCCTGTGCAGGCTGTCAGCCCCTCGCTCACAAGTCTTGTTGTGGGAGAAGGTTCTGGTCTCTCACCACCGTCAAGTGTCTGGATATCTATTTAGGGGACTGCCTGGTAGGCCTGCTCCACCTTCAATCTGCTTTCATTGGGTAGCCAACATCTGGTCCTGGGTGCAAATACCACTAGGAGGAGCCTATCTATTGGCATTTCAGAGATGAAACCAGCAGCATTAAAGTTAGCAGCACGTTTCTGAAGCTTGTACACAAAATATTTGGATTCAAGGTTGTTTCTGCACATGAGGGAAAATTACGGCTTTATCCAACCTGATCCCCCCCATCCCTGCGAGCAATCCCCACATATGACTTGATTTTGCTGCTGCTTCAAGTAAGGATGATCACAGATCAGTTTGTGGATCAGAATTTTTTGGCCATGTGCTTTGGAAACTTGAAATACACACTGCAGGGGATACCCAAGTCTGTGCACCACTGTTCCCCTTATGCCTCAGCATGCATGAGATTTGCTGGAGATTAGGTTGTGCATTAGCTCCCTGCCACACCAGTCTCTCTTCCTCAGCAGTACAGTCTTTCCAAATCTCACCTACCAAGTCACAATCCATGAACTCCAGCCCCAAGGCTCCCCAGATATTTCTGCAATGTGCCATCCCTGCTGCTGGGCACTCACAGAATATATTAAGCTTGCTACTCTTGTATAAGTCAGTGTATTACATTTGATTAATTTAATAGGGATAAACACACATTTGCCTTCAAACATAGCACTGAGTTGGTTTATATTTATTTAATTTATTTAAATATTTTTATCTCGCCTCTCCATTTAAAATATTCGAGGCAGCTTACAAAAAAAAGTACAAATAAAACCAGTTTCCTAACAAAGGCCATAGTCCAGGTAAAAGGGATATAGGCAGAAATGGTTACATGCAAATGCAAGTGAAAACACACATCTGAAAGACAGCTCTCTTGGGGATGTAAGTGCTCTCGTAATGGCCAGTGACCCGTACCCTGGAGACCACGGGCATCTATGCATGCAGTGGTGGGGAAACTCGATCAGTCCCAACAGTGGTGTGATTGAGATCAATAAAATAATTAAAGATTAGTAACAGATTTCTTCCTTGAGTGACCAGTTACCACAGTGGTCCCCAACCTTTTGGGGCTGCTGGGCGCCCGGGGGCAGGGCCACTCACGCACCGGGCACCCGGGGGCGGGGCTGCCCATACACCGCGTGCCCGGTGCCGGTGCCACCCATGCGTTGCACTCCTGGGGCCGGCACCACTCCTGTGCCGCACGCCCAGGAGCCAGCAGCACCCATGCACTGCGCGCCTGGGCCGGCGCCGCTCCTGTGCCACGTGCCGAGGGGGGGGGATGCTCATACGCCACATGCCCGGAGCCAGCACAGCCCATGTACCATGCACCCAGGGGCAGGGCCACTCATGTGCCACGCGCCGAGGGGGCGGGGCTACCCATATGCTAAGCACCCAGGGGCCCTTGCGCCGTGCACCCGGGGGCGGGGCTACCCATATGCTGAGCAGCCAGGGGCCAGCACTGCTCATGCACCACGTGCCTGGGGGCAGGGCTGGCCCTGGTCACTCGGCGGGCACACAGAAATGGCCTGGCGGGCGCCATGGCGCCCACGGGCACCGCGTTGGGGACCAGTGAGTTAGGAGCTTTTGAAGAGTCTGTTGGAGCAGAGATTTAGTCGCTAATATCTCCTAGTAACTAAGCTGGTTCTTCTTTCTTGGCCTTCCCTTCAGGTTATTACTGTGACAACAGCCAAGGGCCAGTCAGTGATTTCACCCTTTACCCATGCCCACAGGGCTTTTATTGCCCCCCTGGGACTCACCAGAGCACTCAGTACAGCTGTCCCCCAGGTACTTTTGGTTCCAGGCAGAAGTTGAAGAATATCCAGGAATGTCAGGGATGTCCACCTGGAAAATATTGTGAGTTTCCTGGGCTCTCAGCCCCCACAGGTACGTTGGCATTCAGCGCTGGGAAGAAATCTGACCGAATTGGGTGAGTCTCATGAGGAGTGGGGGTCAAGGGGAGGGGGTGTTGCCCGATGATTAGAGCAAAGGCCTGGGAGACAGAACTCCTGGGGTCTATTACTCAGGCACGGACTTTCCTTACACGTTATTCCCCTGTTGGTGCCTCATTTTGCTCATCTATTAAATGTGAGTAAGATCCACTTTGTAAAGTGCCTTGGGATATTTGCCTAAAATGAACAGTTGGCCCATCCTTCCCCTTCCTGATCAGAACTAAAATGAAGGAAAGGCTCCATTCAGTAAGTAAAATTGCAAGAATGGATGAAGGGAATGGAACACTTTAGCTTCTAGGATACCCGTGTGAATATCTTCAGGGTTTGTAGCTGCCCAAGATCGTAGCTGTTTGGTGGCCTAGTTGAAATTAGTTCATAGTTTCAGTTCTTCTCCTGATAGACAGGTGTTTATGTAACAATAAATCCTTTGCTAAGGAAGGAACAAATCACACTGTAATTCCTTTCATTCCTAGAGATGGCCCTTTGAGTCAGGTTGGGGAAGATATCACGGTTCCAACTAAGGCTGCCACGTTACGTCTGTATCCTGGAACTTTTATTTAGACCCTCATTATTTTCTTTTGTCCTCATTTATATGTATGAATGTGTCTCTTCTAGGGGACTGCTCTGAAGGATTCTGGTGCAAGGGAAGTGCCCAAGTAAGAGACCCTATAGATGGAATAACAGGGCTCCTATGTCCTCCTGGACATTATTGTCTTGCAGGTACAGTGACCTATTGAACATAATTCTTCTATATTTCTGTGAAGCTTGAACTGGGATTGCTCTGCTGTGTTTCCTGCAGAGAGACTGAGATTCCAGATCCTCCACTAACACTTCCTACAGTGCCTTTGGCGGGAGGAGTCTGGAACTGCACTAGCTGCTAGCTCTGTCTTTGTATTTATATGGCCCCATTCCCAGAGTAACGGAATGCCCCACAATCTTTATCCTCCTGGTAGGGCCGTGCTATTATCCCCATTTTACAAGTGGGGAACTGAGGCACAGAGAGGCCAAATCTCAGTTTTTTAAAGAGTGTTTAGTCGGGATGTGAACGGGTAACCAGTTAACCAGTTAGAAGCCTCGAAGCCTCCCACCCAGATGGGCAGCAGGATGCTCCA